CTGCTTATCAACGCCGCGAACGGATGTTGAGAACGTAACGTAAGATTTCAAAGGCTGGCTCCACGACGCCGAGGGAAACAAACACACCGGCACCGACTATCCCAAGGGGTTAATTAAAATAAGAAAATCTGGAAGGATCGCGCGAGGGAAGCAGCCTGAAAGTTCCACCGGATTTCTTGGTAGTTATCCGCTTGGAACTTGGTACGCGCGATTCCCGTGGAATGTTTTATAAAAACTTATCTAACCGGCCCGAGGTAAAAACGCGCGACGCTTCTCTTTCTTCTCGTGTAGTTGCGAGCAACTATATAGTTATACCCCATCGGTATATCGATGGAAAGATTCTACGCTTTCTCGCGACATTTTTCAAGACACTTTAAAAATTTTATTGTTCTCGCGGGGCGTCGATATCTCGGTCGTGGCGTAACTTCGCCGTTACGAAATTACGATAGGGGACAATTTACGGTTCTGTAGAAATAATTCGAGCCAGGTTGGAGAAAGTTTCGTACCACGGGGATTCTTTCCTTAATTGCTAGCTGATCGAATCACCTTCTATCCACGTACGTATCCTCGTTCGAAAGTTTAACGCGTTCTAGAATCCCGAGAAGGGTAACTTTAATTAAAAGATTTTCTTCGAGCAGTGTAATGCTGTATAAAAGTATAATTTTGCTTACAAATTTTGTCAATGATGTCACTGTTTTTATTTCTTTTTAACAATGAAACTGCTGTTTCCGATTGTCGAACCTCGCTCGCTTTATTAGTCGCTAATTAGAATTACAAATCAGATTAGTCATGTTTAAATAACAATATACATATCACATGATCTCCAAGTTTTCTAGTATACCTAACAGTATCGTAAGGACGTGCTAATATCTGCAAATAATAATTCAAATCATCTTCAAATAATAATTGAAATCTGCCATTTCAAAGAATGATTCTACACCGTTTGCTTCGACCAGTTGGTCGTCAATTTTCTACACATTCATCAGATCCAAACACCATCATCCGGTTATTGTTCCAAACAATAAAGCACACGTATCTGCCCGCTATCTCCCAGGTTAAATTCCCCTCTTACGTGAATTTCACCCCCAAATTTCCTATTAGAAGTTTCGGTCAACTTCGGTTGGCAGAATCATCGGAATGTATTTATGTAAATGGGACGAGCGTCGAAATGGAAACGGAGGCACAGTTTCGCCCCCTATGATATGTATCCGTGTAAGCCATTGCATTTATGCAGATGTTGCCCAGGCCTTTGCTGATTATACGTATAGACGCCTGGCCACTTCGCTGATGCGTATTTCGTGTACATACAGGCTGGACGTCCGCAAACGGAAACGTACGGTCGCGTGGTACGATGGTTTGCACGTATTTATGGGGATGCATGGCCAAATACGTGGCCGTACACCGCCATCGCTGTTCATCCAGCGATGTACGAAACGGCCATTCTGTCTTCGTAAATATCATCTTTTGCCGGGAGGGTGGAAGAAAAAAAGTGGAAAAGAGGAAATATATATATATATATATATATATAT